TCAACACTGCATATTTCTATATTCGCTGAAGTTCGGCCCCAAATCTTGGTTTCCTAGATTCGCAAATTTGTTTTTCATAGAATAGTAGAATTCATATGGTTCATATTAAAACTCGAATATCACATAAACTTGTCTAGATATGAATAGATAAAGAAGGACTGACATGATCAAATTAGATAGTTGATTTATATCTTTAATTAATATATTCACTAAGCAAACTAGTGTGTAGGATAGAATCAACAATCTTTTTCAAATCCTGTAGAACTTGATGCGATACTCAGCTCGTCCTATACAATAATTTCTACGTCTCGTCTCAGCCGATTGAAAGCCTATAATAAATTCTCAACTAATGAAGTAAACATTCCCAGGTCAATGATACCGAAGGATGGATACCGTAGGAACCGGTCGTTCTTCACCGCCCCTCTACAACCTGGGTTATCATTTACCAAAGAATTTTCACCAGTTATTACATATGTATTTCAATAACTTAATGTTTTCTCTATTATATTGATGTTTATTACGGCTCAGATTTATATGAAACAGCACGATCACAATAAATATTCATTTTATCATTCTTCTTCAAAATCTAACAATTCAACTTCTAGTATTGATTGATTTTTTCAAACTTGATCAGCATGCATACAGTAGCAATTCTCCACAGGACTCTCTTTTAAAAGATATTTACAAACAATCATCAACCTTAATTACACTTACGGACATTGAATATGTACAATCAACCATTAAATTTTATTCAGTCACAACATTATTTAGATATTCAATTTGATTTTCAATAAACTCGATCAATTTATTATTTAACTTATATGCAATGAACAAAGTACAATTCAAGAAATTATTCAAATGTAATTATATTACTCAATCTATACTTTTAAAAAATTGTCTATTATTTCATTCAGAATGCTCTTGGTTTACATAAGGAATCAACTTATAGACGTCTTCACGCAGTTGATCAAATGTATGAAGTTATATTTCAATGCATGAAAATTATTCTGATTTACAAAAATGTTTTGTTCTTATTCGATCAAACCTCAATTAAGACTATGAAGTGCTTAATCATTAAGAGGAACAACATAAACTTAAAGAAATAATTTATTGAACAAAAAGAAAACTAATAAACAAGATGAAAAAATTAATGTAAGAAAGAAGAAAGAAGAAGAAATATTTCTTCTTTCTTCTTTATGAAGAACAAGACAGAACTATCAAGACGATGAAAAGAGCTGATCATTGCAATGAACGTGAAAAAAAGACTAGGTAGAACACTGGAAGATTAATTTTTTTTATGTTTCAGGACGAGTATTCGTTTTTTTAGTTCGTTTAATAGATTCAATAACATGGCATTTTGATTACTGAATAAATTATTAATTGAATTCATTGCATTTTGAATTGAATTATTATTATCAATTAAAATTTCGATTAAATTATTAATATTTGCACTTTGTACATTATTGTTTATTGTTGTTGTTGCTGTTGGTGGTGAATATTGCTGCTAAAAAAATTTTTAATTTTATCACCTATATAAAAACACTGATCATTGCAATCTCACTGCAATTTAGGTATGCAACTCATAGCTATATATTTTTCTATACTAATACAAACTACGAAGAATGCCTACTTATTATCTATTACAATCGACCATCCCTCTCTTACACGCACTCTTTTCCTTCGAGACATATTTGTAGATTCCAAAAAATAGCTGAATGGAAACGATTGTAACGAACAACTAGATTAGAGTAGCTTGTGCCACTCTCGACAAAGATGTTTATTAGGCTACTTCAAGTTATCCAGAGTGTAACGACAAAACTAGAGAGTGTCGCCTATGCCCGTCGGCATGATGGTGTATTGTGTCATCTGACATCTCCAGAGTGTAACAACTTCATACATAACGCACGTATATATAGGAGAGAGATAGAAGAGAGATGCATTAGAGCAATGGAAAGAGAACAGANGATTAGAGTAGCTTGTGCCACTCTCGACAAAGATGTTTATTAGGCTACTTCAAGTTATCCAGAGTGTAACGACAAAACTAGAGAGTGTCGCCTATGCCCGTCGGCATGATGGTGTATTGTGTCATCTGACATCTTTAGAGTGTAACAACTTCATACATGACGCACGTATATATAGGAGAGAGATAGAAGAGAGACAGGAGAGAGATATATTAGAACAATGGAAAGAGAACAGAAAGAGAAGGAAGGAGAATCATCGAAGCGTACCATCAATATCGGCACACCCAGTTATCAATCAACGAACAATGTTTGAAAATCAAAGTTTCTATTAGTTTTCATTCATTCTCAAGAACTTTCTTCAAAAATCATAATTAAATTTATGAACATCATTATTATATTTTTGTTTCATTCTTTTGCCAGAGCACTACGACTTGGAATCATGATTTTGATCATATCATTTTGTTTTAAATTTCATTGAATTTAAATATTCTCTCAGTTGGATTGAATAATCTATCCTTAAATAATACTAGATTATTAAAGTATGCAACATAATTTGCTCGTAACCTTATTTAGCATAAGTCACATTCTTGGATAAATTAGAAAGATGAATAGATGATTATCTACCAAAAAGCACATCATTGACAAGGAACAGAGGATTGACTTTATGCTACATTGATTTTGAAGTTTTGAATATTCAAAAAAACTATCTTTCGAGTGTTTATTGAATTGATATTCGAAATTTGTCAAAGCTACCAGGGGTCGCAACGGGCTGCCCGACCCGGACCATTGGTAAATTTTCACCGGGCCGGGCGAACCGGTGAAAATTTTCTGCCGGTCCGGGTGGGTCACGTATTTCTTTGGTCCACCCGGACCGGCTTGTTTTATTTTTTTTTCTTATGAATCGAACATAACTGGTGAGACAGCATAAATGGCGGTCTCAATATTTCTTCAATATTCCTTTCAGCTTTCATAGTTTCGGACTGACTTTTATAACAAAAGATTCAACCTTGAATGCTCTACAAAACCATAAAATAAATGAATCACATGGAGATAGAAACAAAGCAATTATTATAGTAATACTGCTAACGAGCATCGATATCAACTTTAAAGAACTTCTATTCAAATTAATTTGCGTTTTTTCTTGCTAGTGAAACACTTTTAGAAAGCTTCAAAGTAATATTTTTAATGCGATGATGAGCGCACTATATAATGAAACATACGAAAGAATATTTCAACGAAAAAATATTGACAAAGCATTCAGTTTTTGGTCATCTAGTTTGCCTCTGGCATATTTTGGCATTTTACTTGAATCTAGTCGATAGGAAGTGATATTTCTGCAGAATTAATGTATAACTCCATGATATTCCATAGTGCTAGTCTGTACCTTTAAAAAAAGACACAAAGTTTTCACCAAAAAATAGTACTTGGTCGACTAATATGAATTTTTCAAGAAAACGAAAAATTATTGGTAAAAACGGGTTTTTTAGAAAATTTAAAGAAAAGTAACACTTATTTTATCCACCATGTTTTGATTATGGAATTATTTCAGCATACTAATAAGATAGGCCTTTCGAAGCTCTACACAATCGGTAGTTCGATTTGCCTCTATAGCTCGATATGAGAACACATCAATACAAGAAGTTGTAGCTCGTGCTCTAAAGTTGTTGATGTTACTTGTTTTGAGTATTACTGCAATAACTTTTTTGTTTCTATCTCCATACGATTCATTTTTTTATGGCTTTGTAGAGCATTCAAGGCCGAATCTTTGGGTAAAAAAGTCAGTCCGAAACTATAAAAGCTGAAAGGAATATTGAAGAAAAACTGAGACCGCCATTTTTGCCGATGCACCTGCGACTTATGATATTTTTTGTTATCATATGAATTATGTGATCTTATGAAATTTATTAAGAAATCAAAGCTATACTGTATACGCGTAGGTAACTTTTTCTAAATACTGCATTAAGTTTCAATCTTATTAATCTCAAATATGATTATAAGATAGTTCATCGGATTATGTCGGTCCGGTCCGGTCCGATCGGTCCAGACAAATCAACGGGTTGGGTCGAACCGGACCGTTGTGATTAATGTGTCGGTCCGGGTGGGCCCATCTAGCTGACGGGTCGCAACGGGTCGGGTCGGTCCATGAAAAGTTGGACCGTTGCGACCCCTGATAGCTACTCTCTGCTATTCAGACGTAAAAGATAAACCACTAACTATACTTTTCGTATTCTCGATATTAATTTCGTTTTGAATCTTTCATTATGTGTGCCGTAAGTGAACACATGCCAATGTTAAGTCTGATATCATCGCATCCAAATAGTATGATCTTGTTTAACACTCGTTTGAAGTATGCCATGATTATGGTGTAAGATCAACAAAATGAATAGTAGTTATAACTGAAGTCATGTTTCGAGTGTCTTAATGAAAATGATATTTTTCTGTCTCCACCGAAACATAAAAATTGCGGTTCGTATTCATTTCAACTTATGAATGCTGCATGTTAATATCTTTTGTAAAGGCAGTTAGATCAATAGATAGTAGTTGCATATGATAGTGTGCACGTAAGGATGAAAATGAATACGGGTGTCAGCAAGTATACATTTATCGCCCAAAGTCAAAATCGATTAAATATCAATTGCAAAAGACAATATTGGTACTCACGAATATCATGCAGTTCAATAGTGTCTTACGTACGTGCAAAGTAGTTTTTTTTCTTCTTCATCGTCATAGCCATGGTTATTTTTTCTCCGTCTTTCGTATTCGTAACCTTAGAAATCATGTCCAATACATCGTTTTATTTATTTTGTTTTGAACATACTGAAATCGATATTTCATATCTGTCCACCATGGACTTATACTATAACGTTGGGATCTTGTTTGTTATATTTATTCCTCATTAGTATTGTTTTTCCATTGTTAACATCAATATTATCATCGAAAGTTCAACATTTATTAGGAAAAATCCATCATGTACTATTATTCATATATTCGCTATTTTCATTTAGTATTACTTTATTCTTTGAAACAAAAACAAAAGAAATGACAAATTGGTCAGATTATCTTTGTTTTCCAATACCTCCTTGGCTTCGTATAGTATCGATGACGTTTACCATTTCGAAAATATGGGAATGGTTCGATACAGCTATTCTAATATCAAAAGGACAGTCTTTGAAAAAAATTGGATTTCTCCATATTTATCATCATGCAACAACATTTTTATTATTTCTATGTGTGATGAATTTCCCTGGTGGAGAAAAAAGTGGAATGCTATTAAATGGTTTTGTTCATACACTCATGTATTATCATTTTGCTTTTCGTTTACCAAAATTATTACGTCCTATAATTACAACATTGCAAATTATACAGCTTATAACAGTTACTTATATTTGGCATGTTGTACCAACTGTATGTTCTTCATATAAACATTTTCCTAAAAGAAGTTTTCTTGAATTTCTACTTCCTTATGCACTTGTACCTGTTTATTCTTTGTTTTTCTTCAAATTTTTCATTGAACAATATCTTATGCCATCGAACAAAAAAGTTAAAGCTTCTTCACATAAACAAGAATAAAAAGAAAGTAATAAAACTTAAATAAATCATTGTTCATAATATTTATTTGTTTACTTTGGTTTACTTGATTGATTGCAATATATTTTTTGAATATGGCAGCTATCAAGATGCATTACATAAGCAAGGGCTATACACGAGTCGATTTCTTGTGTGCCTCTTTCTACATTGTTCTATCAGTACCATTAATTTCTAAAGTATTGGTTAAATATTATAATTATAATGCTGACGAAAAAAATCTGAAGTTTACCTCATTACTCAAATTAAATTATCCTCTTGCTGATTTTATCACACCACAGTTCTGTTTGTTCTCTGTGCACACAAAATATTGCACGGTTATGATGAAGGTTGGCGATATATATGGTCAGTAAACAAGTTATTGTACAGAGGGAAATTTTTTAACATGCATTGATTGAAACGAAACGCACTATTCGAGCACAAGTGATATTTATGGCTAATACAAGTCCATCATCTCTTTTGGAATTATCTGTCGAGCTTGTCTATCGAATTCTTGAGAACCTCGATGCCTTCACCATAGTATGCTCAGCGCGTAACGTCTTTCAATGACTGAATATGATCACAGACATATATCCTCGATATCAGGTAAATTTCATCATTATCATCCATGATACTTAGGTTATTTGTATCTTCAAGAAATATTCTAGTACAAATGGTGATTACTTTAGTTAGTTTACGTTTTGATTGTACAATAGTATTTTTACCTTTGGTGATAATATTTCAGGATTAATGAAACCTACCTCGGCGAAGGCAATCATCAAATTCAGCAAGCTATTGCGACAAGGTTAATCAGATTAGATTTTTCCTGCAATTCTTTACTCATAGACAGAAATCTATCCGAGGCATGAAATCGATTCTTGTCCAGATAGCGTGCTGAATTTCATGAATACTATTCTTCTTGAATTTTGAGCATGTAAGCATTTATAAAACAAGTCAAGTTATCCGGAAAACATTCACATACTTCTAACAAATGTCAGATGGTACAATTCAAAGGGGCTGTTAGAGTAATTTCCATTACTCGGTAATCATTTAATAGAACATTGTAAAGCTTTTATTGCCAAAGTGATCACGAGTGGAGCAAGATGGAAGAATTTCGATCGTTAAGAAACAGTATTTGAGAAACGAGACATTTTAATGTAATTCACACAAATCGAGATTTTTCGGCATGCTTCAAATTTTTTGTGGAGTATCATTTATTGACGTGAATTCTCAAGACAAAAATGTCTGCTGAAGTATTTCAAAGAATTAGTTAGATTGCTAATTTCAGTAATCTTTTGCATTTTACTGTGGAGTAACCACTGTTTCAGTTTAATAGTATTGATGCCATTTAATGAAAATTTGATTGCGCTTGGGTTTCTATGGATATTTCCAGAATATCATCAATGCTGAACCATTCAATTGGGATGTTTTTACTGTGAGAACACATTCTTGTTCAGTCTAGTCTTTTCTGATCAATGAATAAATACTTTTAACATTTGAAATTGTCTTCTCAAGATTTAAATAGGAAAGACTCAAAGCAAACGAACTAGATCTGCGATATCGAAATATTCTTTTTCTTTCATCTGACGCAACTAGGATAATTTCCTTTTAATTTTTTTTATCTGAAAAACTCGAGTTAAAGCAGAATTGTTATGTTCATACGTGGGGAATTCCTCCTAAAAACGGGTATCGTATTTTCGCGAACAAATCCTCAATCTTAAGTGCTACTGTGTCTTTCTTGGAGCGGAGTTACTCTGAACTAATATTATCATGTCAATTAAATATTGTTGATTGCATATTTACAACAAACAGTAAGATTCTTGTCTTTTCTTCATATATGTCAAACTTGAAACTTGAATTCAATTGAAAATTGAAATTTTCAACTTTTAAACCAATAGCATTCTGAATAATCGTGACTCATACATATTATCGCTATGAGTTGAAAGTTGAAATATTCTATTTTCAACTGAATTCAAGTTTCAAGTTTGACACTACTGATCATGAACCTCATTATATCGATCGTGATGCTCTCTGCAGTACTCTAAAATGATTTTGAAATTTACGAATGATTAAAAGTGCTTTTGATCTCTTTCATAGTATGAATTAATACTTATGGTCTTTTCAGAATTTATTTTAGGATTTAATTGCTGTTTTCTGAAAATATTCTCTGCTGATGTTGGTATCAACTCCCATTGATCTTCCATTTTGCTTTATATCTCATCCTTCTGTTCGCCTTTCTCGATTATTCGTACGTGTGCTAACTTCAATTTGCCTTCTCTCTCTGAAATAACCAAAGAGGTAAAACTCATTCGGAGCCATTCAAATGGACAGAAATGCCCAGGAATGCAAAAATGAGTTTTGGAGTAACTCCAACCATTTTGTCATTGTGCATGCCTCTCTGAATTAACAACGCTATCCAATATAAAAATTACTTGAAATGAATTAATCGCTAACCCATTGTACATGTTTACCATTTTTGCAAACAGGAAAATCAGCTTTACGTCTATGCATGTTCTATCTATTATTTAAAGACTTTACTTTTCTTTCTAAGTCAAAAACCCAATTTCAACCAGACATTCTCTAACATCCTAAGCACTGTTTCTTCAGAAAAGATTTTCCTTATGCAGAACGTAAACCTTCCACTAACACCATCTAAATCAAGCACATTCAGTTCCCATAAAACAGAAGTCTTCTCGAATGCTTCGAGAAATCGTGATCACACCTACAGACCAAGAAACACAATATTAACTATTTCTTCTCCGTATTGACTGAAAACTGCAACAATGGACCTAACTCTTAGGTTGCAATCAAGCCATGTACCAGACTTGCGAAATGTAGGCAATTTTCAGCGAAAATATACCTAAACATCATCACACAGTACAGCTACTCCCTCCTCTTCTGTCAAAAACACTCACCGATTCTATCTCACACAGACACTAAGCATACTTAATAACATATCTTCTCATTCGACCCATATACTTCTCCACTATTTCTCAACCAGGCCCTGGCTATACGAAATCTCGAACATTACAGAATCAGTGATAAAGAAATGACGCGTATTCCTGATGCACTGCAACACAACACGCTAATTTCCACTCTCTCTTGATCAGTTCCATATACTTCTTAAATATATCTCAAGCAAACGCTCACTATACTTGATCTCCGAACCTACAAAATCCAGCAAGAAGGAGAGAGACATCTTGCTGATGCATTGGAGAATAACACGGTGATTCTCATATCTTTTCATCCGTTCCATGTACTTCTGAATTGTTTCTCACACAGACATTCACTGAATTGAAGCTAAGCTACTTCGAAATGGATGTCAATCTTCGCTATCGTCTGAATAAACTGATTAGATGAAACCGAAATCGGAAATATCATTGAGTGTGGCACTGATTATGACTTTTCTGGCGGAAGGAAGATCGAGATACATTTCTTCTTTTATTCATTTGTTTTAAATCATTCTTTCCGAATATACAATAAACTAGCTCAAAGTTAGAGTTGACTTCTCGTAGAGGTTTCGGATATGGAACGGATCCAGGGGGGGGTGGGACTTCCGTACTCCCCTCGTATTCCATTGTACTTCGCTGTACGTCACTTGTACTTCCATCGTAGTCCCATCGCACTTCAAAATTTTTTTGAAGTAGATGAAGTCGCGCTTTTTCCCCTTTGAACAGAACCTGGTCGGATTGCAATTTTTTTAGTATCACTTAAAGATTCTTATATGGAATTTTATAATCGCTTCGATGATAGGGGATGGTTTCTCTGCGGTTTTGGCAGCGATTGACTAGCGTGCAGCACTCATTACCAGTCTCCTTTGACGAATTCAGTCATTGTACTGAAAGTGTCTGAATCACTTATAGAATCCGGAGTACATTCGTACCTTGCAGGTTCTACTGAGTCATAAGTAACTATACATGCTTGCATGTGATTCTTTCCAGACTTTCTTTGACTGCCTGATTAAGTGTCAAATTTCAATGATTGATTCAGTACAAGACAAGTTTTAGTTTAACCTCAATTTTATTGGCTGCTTAACGACCTATATATAATGCATGTGCTCACATTATTCCGTCATGTTACCAGTTTTACAACTCTAACATGAAATGTTGAAAGTAAGGGTATAATAGTTGGAATGAAACTAAATAACATCGTTGATTGCCATTTCATAAGCTTCATAGCCTTTTTTCTCTTGACATATTTCTTTCAAATAAATTTGGGTGTCACATCGTAATTCATCTCGAAGTTAAACCAACGAAGTTCGTGTGTCATCAAATTTTCATCGTTTAACATACGTGTTAAACAATCAGCAACACGTGTATGTAACCGGCAATTACTGTTAGGAAACAGCAACTAATCACGACTCTAGCAACAAGTCGATACACGAACCTGGTGTAATAATTGAGACAATGAAAATAGAACCATATCTGTTGAAACAAAGTAGCAAATCCTATGGTAAAGGCTAGATGGACAAAGTTGTGACCAGTGATGGCAAGAAATAACTCATTTATTATATTATCTTAATGTTTATTGTGGTGATAGAAAATTGGCTTTAAATTGAATTATTTTGAAAGTAAGTCTAACACGAGATAAAAAAAAATTGTATGTTTATTTTTGTATGAGAGAAGACGCGAGGCTCACTTTTAGTGTCTGAAAGTTGTATAAAAAAAATAGAGAAATGAATAAACTACCTTCAATAAAGTTTGAATAAAAATGTGATGTATTGAATGGTATACATGTAGATATTATCTTTTCATATTTTTATATTTTTTATGTGTTAGATGATTGAATATTTTTAGTAACGGTAAATTTATTTTTCGTTTTCAACGAATAGAGATAAGGCACTAGTAATTCTAGAATTATAATGAAGTAGGTGAAATAAAACATCTCAGGTATCTCACATTCTGATCACTTAGATATACAGTTTTCCACATTCATAATGTGAAAATAAATAGATTCGTCACTGTTTATCTCTGAATAGCTACCTTCCAATTGATGATTATATTTAACCTTGGATAAACATTGTCGTTTTGTGTTCGTTTTGAAATCATGAACTATAATCGTTAACTCTATATAAATACAAAGAAAAAAAGCAATTAATTGTATTTCTTCTTTCGTAGGCGAGGAAACGTAACATGTTATTCATACTGTAGACAAAGATTGCAGTGTTGTGGTGGAAAACGATAATTATTCTTTTTTTTTATACGTTTATATGCCCAAGTATTGAAAGCATAAACAACTATTATATACTACTTTCTCGTTTTGCCACTACGATGCACCGGGAACTATTCTTTATTGTGGTCTTTTGCTTATTTTTTGCGACTACTGTATCGATTCGATGTTATACTGGCACGGATAACAAATGCTTGATAGCACCTGAAAACAAAGATTGTGGTGTTCGAGAAGTTTGTACTTGTGTAAAATATGCTTATAAATGCCTTCACGGAGATGTGTCTTGCAACCACCAAGAACAATCAGCAAATATTACGAAATGGGAATACTTAATAGTTTCGAAAAGCGTTTGTAAAGCATTACAAAATCCAAGAAGCGGTGTTACTGACGTGACCTGTTGCTCGACGAATCTATGTAACTCACCAAATGATGGTGTATGCACATGGTCTTCTGGTCGTCGTAGAGCTCTACGTAAATTCAATCAACTTCTGAAGATTGAATGATCAATATGAATCACAAGATGGCAAACAGAGAAGAATTTTATTGTAATCGATTTTCTTTTCTTTAGTTCATTTATTAAATAAACAAAATCACACGATCATATATTTTTTATGTTCTTTATGTTGTTCTTGATAAATTTTGCTAGTATATCTCTCTATCAATAAAACTAGCAAAGATTATTTTTCTAATAACAAGAGAAAACATAAAATTAATTACTAATTCAGTTAAGTTTGTGTAGAAAATATGCAGATGAACTGAAGAAATCTAATACAATCTTAGACGGTCATTAGGTTCTCCTTTTAAACAAGAAATGCCAACAAACCAGCGGCGGTGGAGCCACTGAGACCCATGAGGCTTGAGCCTCACCTAGATTTCACAAGATGAGGCTCAGCCTCACTTACTTTTGTACTGACCATTTCTATTTTTTTACTGCAGTTCAATAAAAAGAAGACTTATTTTCTGCTTGATGCGTTCATAAAATTCCACGGTAGAAAAAAAATATTATGAGCCTCACCTAGCTTAATGACGCTCCGCCACCCCTGCAACAAGCATAATGTGAAAACTGTCAAACAATAATATACTGGTTCGGGAGAAGAAAAATCATTTGATATGAAACATAATATTTTATGGTATTTTATTATCATGATATGTTAGTAAATCCCTACCATTAATCGATGTTGGAAAAGTTCCATTGAGATGAAATGTATGATTTCTACTTAATGATGGTACTTGATCATGATCACCGCCATTTAGACATGAGACATTCATACCAGAAATCAACTAAAAATTATGAGAGGTAGCTACTATTTTAGAACGTGGATATATAATCTCGTAATACATTTGCAGCGAACTGATGATTGTATTGTCTAGCTGAATAGTGTAACTTTTGTCTGATTGTTTACCATTTTTTTAATTTTTTCTATATAAACTTCGCATCTATTCTTATGAATAGTTGCACGTTCGGTAGCCGATTACTAAATGCATCCTTGCATAAACCGAAGTAGGAGGGACAGATTCAAAATATTATTTGGTGCATTTCTAAAATGTACAACGAGAATTTACAAATCTAAACTGATTGTATTGGACGAAAAGATTGCACCTATATCACATCCGAGTTGAATCCTTTAATTATATAATTTATTCTCATTTAAGACACAATTCAAAATGAATACTCTTGATTTAAAAAAAATATTCAAGTACAAATAGAATAGATTTCAGAGAGAATTAAGAACGAGTAAAAACACAAATATCTTAAGAACTCTTTCCTGCATTTTGACTCTATGTACAATAGTTGTTAAAAAAAATAAGACCAATATATTGTTGGTTTTAATCCTACCCAAAGATTCATTAGAATAGTCGATGAACGTTTCATATTGAAATTTTGTAGATCGATTAAAACATTCAGACTTCTGAAAAACTACATACGCCTGCAATAGTATAATGAATTATCGCTTTTCTATAAGTTTTGTTTTCTTAAAAATTATAAACACCCAAATACATGAAAACTGAGCGCAATGCAGCATCACAGAATTGTCAAATATATGCTACTGTGAGTTGCCTAAGGGATGGTGTTCGATAAATTTCATGATATCTCACTTTATTGAAGCTCTGTTTACGCTTTTTCTAGATAGTAAGAAAAGAATATTTTGGTCTTATTATTTTTGACTAGGATTGTATATAAAATCAACGTGCATTTTAAATGATAAAATTTTGCGAATTAACAAACACTATTCGTACATGTACATTCTTTAAAAAATTCTAATGATTGTCTATAGGCAAAGCCACTTGCACATGTCATGCGAAAATATCGACGTTTGCCTTCGATCGGTTTACAACATGATGATAATGTTCCATTCGTTGATAAAGATGGACATGTGCCAAAGCATTTTGTCATACGTAAACGTCGAGTACTCCTACATTTCGTTAGCGGGTCAATATAATATCCTGTTTCAATACTCCAATCACATGAATTTATCAATGGTAATATTACAGCGGGTGATGTTGAAACTAAAATTAAATCGCAGCTAATCATTTTTAAATTGAAAAACCAAAAACTCATCAATTACCTTCACTGCATGTGGGTCCAGTAAATCCATCGAAACATTTACATATATACGTAAAACCATCAAGTTCACATCGACCATGTTGACAAGTTGTAGCCGTGCATGATAGTTCATTTAGGCCATTTTCTACACAACCAGGTAATATTTTATGGCGATAATCAACATTAGCGAAATTAATCGATTCATCATTGATATAGAGTGCATGAATGCAACCTTAAGAGAAAAAAATAATTCAAAGAAGATCAGAGTAATTATATTACCTTTAAATGATGTTGCTTCACGAATATGCCATAATTGAACGGCTCTAGTAGTTAACTCTTTAGGTAAACCGCTTATATACAAGCCATCTATTTCGCTTGTATTCATATAAGTACTAATACCACGATTATTAATAAATCTTGTATAGCTTCGATCGACAATCAAACTAAAATTTTGTCCGATGCTTATCAATTGTAATTCATGAATTTTTCCTAAAAGCAATCATTTTCATTCATTCGAACTGCCGTTTTTTTCTCTTACCATTATTGACTGTATCATAACTAAATAAGACTGAGCCCGGTGAATTACCAATATCGTAACTTACACGTATTCGTCCCATGAATAATTCAGCAGCAATATGTCCCATATGTCCAAAATAAACGAGTACACCATTGTTTTGAATTGTACTGAACATCATTGTAATGTTTAGATGAGGGAATATTGTTGGTTTTGATAATTTCATATAAGAATTATTTCTATTAGCATGAACGCTTTTTAACGTAAGACATCGATCACCGATAAAACCCGGTGAACAACGACATTGAACTCTATTTAATGAATCCTCATAACAAATGCCATTGTTTGAACAAATTTCCGATGTACACGTTTTTGATAAAATTTCCGTTTGATTGTTCTGAAGCAGCGATGATTTAAGTTGTGATGTTATTTCACAAAATTTTCCAATAAAGCCACTATGACATTTGCATGTGTAGCCATTAATTTTATCGATACAAACACCAAATTGGCATGTATGATTCGAACAATCATCAATATTATCTGTACAATTTATTCCTTCAAAACCCAATGGACACTTGCAACTAAGTTTTTGAAATCAAATATGAATTAGCATATAAAAATTACAATTAAAATACTTACTAGTATCCCTTTTCGGTTCGTAAACAAGATCCTTGATTTTTACATATATTTAAATCCTTATCACACCAATCTAATTGTTTTTCACAATATTTTCCTAGATAACAAAAGTTCAATTAAAAATCTAATCTAATTAGATATCGGTCTAGAAAATATAATTTAATCCTGATTACTATATGAAGTTAAGTGACATGTCATAAATCATTGTTTTCGTTCGAAAAAAAAACATGTGCTTTTTTCCAGCGGATTTCCCTTACCAGTATATAATGGCAAACATAAACATGAATAATCATTAATTTTATCAATACATGTTCCATTATTTTGACAATTATTGGAAAAACAATTATTTGTATTAATCTCACATTGACGACCTGTAAAACCGGCTAAACAAGTACATTGGTAACGACCATTAAGTAGTACATGACATGTTCCCTGTTGTCTACATGGATTATCAAAACAAGTATCCACCAGTTTTTCACAATGTTCGCCGTGAAATGATGGTAAACAATCGCAAACATACTTTCCAGTGGGTAGCAGTCGACATGTACCATTATTAGAACATGGGTTCGTATTATTCAAGCAAGAGTTGCATTTTTCTTGATAGCTATTCGATTCAGATTTATCTGAAAACAAAAGAAATTCTTCTAGAAAGAGATGAAAGACAGAAAAAAGATATGCGTACTGTAACATTGAAAGAAGGAGATAGGAGATGTAAGGAGAAGTTTGTTTGTCATTGGCGGTGGAGCAGCACATCGAGCAATGCCTAATTAAAGAAATGATTCTTCTAGCGAACTAATTTATGATTCGCTTTGTTTTACCAGGTTCTACAAAATCGGCCTTAATCCATGATGATAACCAAGCAAGATGACAGTCACAATAAAATGGATTTCCACCAAGTGCACTAAACAAAAACAGAGTTGAAGCTTTTATTTCATTGGAAAAAAATCGTTTTTCTTACATGTGTGATAAAATTGCTAAATCTTTAAATGTTCCTTCTGATATTATTGAAATTTCATTTCCATGAAGTGATCTAGAATTTCAATAATTGATTACTTTCAAAAAACTTGAAATCTTTCCAATAAAAACTACATACAACATTCTCAAATTTTTTAATCCATTAAATGCATTCGAATCTAAACATTGAATTTTATTATACGATAATGTTAATGTTTCCAGTCGTGTTAATTTTGAAAATAAATGTCCTTGTATCGAACGTAATTTATTGTAACTTAAATCAATTCTCAACAGATGAGTAAGACGATCGGTTAATTCCATTGGCACTTCTTCTATATTATTTGAATCTAAATAGAGTTCTTCGGTATCTATTGGCATTTCTTCGTATGGAATAAGTTTCAATTGAGCGTGTGAACATCGTACAATATGATCGTAACATGTGCAATTCTGCGGACAAAATTTTGACTGAGATGCATCACACATATCCATTTCAGTAGCTAAAAGAAAACGAAAAGAAAACTATTTTCTCCAATTCTTCGAAGATCATCAAAACGTAGACTACAATAAAAGAAACGCCTGTTTTGAAAGAACTTACGATGACAAACGAACTCGCCATCAGTCATATTACTAATCTAAATAAAACTAAAGCGATTAATTCACGATTTTTTTAAATAATTATGTTTACCGGAATATCATGCAGTTTTATCAGTGATTTACATCTTAAGATAGAAGGAAAATGTTCAAAAAAAAAAGAGATTTATTAATAAGTAAAATATTTACTCAGGTTGACCAATAAGGATTTTATTTTGTTTGAACCATTCCATATGACAATTACATATCAATGGATTAGACTCAAGATTTCTAAAATGAAAAAAAAACTCAATTTTGATATTTCAGAAAAAGAAGAATTAAATTTTTACAATTCCGATAAAAGTCGAAGCTGATCAAATAGTGACGATGTAACATATTTTATTTGATTATTATTCAATGATAACGTTTCAAGTTTATTCATACTGATGAAAGTATCATTCTTGATACATGTTAATTTATTCGCATTTAAATTTAGAATTTGAACATTTATTAAACCATTCAATGTCAGGGATGTTATTCTATGAAGACTATTGTTATTCAAAAATCTATAGCAAAAAAAAACAATTTAGAAGAAATAAAATTTTTCATTACTAAAATTCTTTTTACAATTGATTCATTGAATCGAATCCATTAAAAGCATCATCATCAATTTCTTCCAATTGATTATTTTGTAGATCACTATTTTCAAATAGAAAGAAAATTCAAGATTAAATTTAATTGACGATTCTTCAAATACATACAGTATACGAAGATTTTTTAATCGTTGTAAATTGCCATTGCGTGGTATTCGTTTAATTAAATTATCTTGTAAATAACTAAACAGATAGAATAATTCGAGATTGTATCACTTATAGGCTAAACGAAAGTAACACTACAGATGATTCTTGTGCATAGGCCATATTTTAATGATTAAAGTCTTTAATCATGAAGTATCAAAAAGGATTTCGGAATAGATTCATCGCAAGTAACTTTCATCTAGTACATATATTCATCACGAAGAAATGTTGAAACTCTATTCAAACTAGTGCGTGTGAGGCTTTGGATTACAATTAGTTTAAAATTAAAATTTACACAAGAATCTAGGACTTTGAAAATCTCTGAACGATTAACATAAAACTCAAATTACTTACAGTTCGGTAGTAAATTTTGGTATATCATTAGGAATTTCTCGTAATTGTAATCCACGGCATGCTACCGCTGTGCTTGCGCATGTACACCGCGTAGGACATTCTATTTCACATTGAGCATTATTCGCCGATTGTAAATATTGCATTCGATCTGATGGATTTAGTAAAAACAGCAGATAATTTTTCAAAAATTTGAGAAAGTCAATTTCTTTACTTTGACATCGAAATCTTTGATCTTTTAAAACGCCAAACTTTTGTTTTGCCATACGTCGTGGTCGGGCACAACGAACACCACTTGTTTCAATTTGTTTTTCACGTAAGTACGCATTTAACCATCGAATATGACAATCACATAGAAATGGATTACGAGCTAAATGTCTAGAGAACAACAAAAATTACAAACATAAAACCAATAGAATGAAATTTACAATGTTTGAATATTTCTCAATGAGCTAAATGTTCCATTCGCAAGCGTTTTCAATTGGTTGTCATATAGAGACAATAAACTTAGCTTTTCCAATCCACGAAAAGTATCAACACGAACACAAACTATCTTATTTGCATTTAGCAATCTATAGAAGTCAAAAAAAAAAGAAAAGAATATTGTTTAAATTTGATGACAATAATACAAAGCAAATTCGATTCATATGACATGCAATGAACACTATGCGCTTACTCACAAGAGTTGCAAATGTATAAAATCATGATGAAATACACCGAATGGTAAATGCACAAGCAGGTTGTTTGAAAGTATGCTATAGTCATAAGCAATAAAAAAAATCGATAGATTCATGCAAATGATTATATATGAAAATTATAAGATATGCATATTTTATTTGATTTTATATAGCGATCATTCTCATGCTTGATAATGCTTCAATCAAAATTCTTATCGCAAAAAAACGAACTCTAAATATGAGCTAGTTGCAATTAAACATGCCTTGTTCTCAATATTTTTTTCCTGTCAGACACTCACAAAATTTTTAAAGAATTCAGTTCATTGAACACCCCCGATGGTAATGTTTTGAGATTATTCCGATAGAGAATGCTAATCATTTTTGTATGTAAATCAATAATTTTAAAGAAAAAAAAATCGATTATAATAACTTACAGTGAATTGAGTGATTTCAAACCAGTAAATGAATCGGGATAGATTGTTGAAACGATATTATTACTCAAATCTCTAGAATTCGATAATTTCATTGAAAATATTTTCAAAATCAAACTGTAATGACATACAAACGACGAAGCTTTTTCAAATGAAAGAAGACTTTTGGTGGTATTTCCATAATACGATTTTTTTCTAATCGTCTAAAATACAATTTTAAATCTCTATGACATGGAGAAGGAAAAACAAGTTCTATAAACATTACAATTCAATGGTTGTATCAGGAATATTTCTGGGGATTTCAATAAGATCTTTATCTTTGCAGTCGACAACACCATTAAAACATGTACACGGATATGGACATACAAATACATTGCATGTATATTCAATCTCATCGTTATCTATTTAAAAATTATATTAAAGTTTTTATTTCAATTCTCTATTATAACTTTACCCATACGATTGCATTGACTTTCATCATCAGCTAACAATGTTATATCTTTCGCATTTAGTGCAGTTGTATCTTGACATTGAGAATTAATAGCGAGAAATGGATAAAATTTAAGATATTTTGCAAGCCAAAGTAAACGGCAGTCACACACGAATTGATTATCATGTAATCGTCTTTAACAAAAAACAAAATGTTTTTATAATGCAACCATATCACAAACTGTTTACTTACAAAACTCTCAAGTCAACTAGTTGTGCCAATGGTAAAACAGGTAGAGTTGTTAGATTATTTGAATTCAATGTACTAGAAAAAGGATCTATTTTCATGTATAAAATAAAAAGATTACTCACATAATCTCTAATCTTTTAAGTTCACTGATTACTTCAGGTTCAATGCAGGAGATCTCATTGTGATCCAGATGTCTAAATAATATCGAGCGGAAAATAAATAAAAATCAATTTAATTGTAATCTGCACTTACAATGTATTAATATCATGTAGACCTTGTAATGTGCCTCTTCTAATAACTCGCAAATGATTCGAACTGAGATCCCTGCAAATAAAAATAAAATCGCTTTATTTGTTTAGATTGTCAATAAAATGCATATACATACAATCGTTGAAGTTGTTTGAGTGTAATAAATGTACCATCTGCAAAATGGTTAAGTTTATTGCCATTGAGACGTCTACAAAAACATGAACATATCGATTCTCATACATCAATCATTCATTTCAATTAGCTTCCATCATCATCATCATCATCATCTCATTTTCACTAACTTAGGCAGCTATATATGTTACATAAATACACTCGTTTATAGTGATCGTCTATCATTAAACGATAGTAATTAAAGAACAGTAAACGAAAAAGACCATGTAAAATTATGTGTTCAATGTACCGAACAATACACATAGTCAGACTAATGACATGACCAATCATAAAAATCAACTGTTGATATTCTTATTGTTCGCTGCAATTTTAAGAATGAGACAGCGATCGTTATTAGAAGTATTTGATAATTGTTGAACATTTAAATGTTTCATATAACGATGATGATAGTGTATAGAAAGAGTCGAGATAAAAAACGCAGCTTGATTTTTATTTTACTTACAATTTTTGTAATGATGTTAACTCTCGAAATGCATCAATATCAATTGTATGAATTTGGTTGTCTTGAATATTTCTATGCAGAGAAAAGAAATTCGCAATTTTCTATATACGTAATTACATAAAAGTTCAAAAATAATTTTTTCTAATTATTCACTTTCTCTTGTTTGTACGTCTAACTACTTGACCTTCTCATCGTACAAACATTTCGAAGAGAATAAACAACTCTTAACCTTGTCAATTAAAACAGAAAGTCAAAAAAAATCCGGTTCAAACGATGATCACCGATTCTCATGTCATAGTACATTTTGTATGACAATCAACAGAACGATTCAATTAATTTGTATATATTTATCATCAATCATACTTACAATATGCGAAGTTGACGGAATCCTTTGAAGTCATCTTTTCGAATTATTGATAAATTGTTCAATTGTAAATCTCTACAAACGAAAATCAAAATATTTTTTTCCTATTACTAAAAAAATTCTAAGACGACGGCAGAAGCGGGTGTAACCCTCGCTATAATTGATCCTTCGTGCGGCCTCTATCTGCAAACGTAGTGAATCCTATCGATTTGCATTTCGTCTTCATTAATTTTCTATTAGAAAATTTTATTGGATTCATTAGATGATCGAATTAGAGTTTCCCCTATCGTTTATAACCATGAAATAGGAAATTAATGACAAGTGTTGAACATTTGTTTTCCTTTATATAAATGTGTCAAGTTCTAGTGTGAAGATGATATAATCGAACACAAGCAACTTGTCGACTGTTCTTTTATTTTATGAATTGTATTTGTACTGTTCGTTTTTTCTTGAAGATTTTATTTGACTGATCAATTATATCTACTTGACTTTCTATTTACAAATATCATAACATTATTCTCTTCTCAACATCGTTCATTAATATAATGAGACAGACTCAAGTGCATGTGTACATATCTCACTGATATTGTTCTATTTCATGCGCCAAGATTGGCACAAATACATATATATATATATATATGTATATTCGATGATGTAATATAGGATACACAACAAGACAGTACAAAGAAAAAAAGAAAAAGTATCTGTCTATAAAGCATCTTTAGCAGATTTTAAATCAATCGAAACTAACTGAATAGTTGCATAACAATAAACATATAGTTGTTAATGAAGTAGAGCATCATAATGATGATATTTCTATTATGAAGGACGTAGAAGAAGGCAATCGATAGATTTATAAGGAAATATGAGAAACTCTTTGATTCATTATCGAGATTACATCATAGAAACAGATACCTAAAAGATTCAATTGTGCGTAATGATATCATTAATGACTTACACTGATCTCAATCAATCATCATTATTCAAATGAATGTGTTAACATGACAAATATATTAAGAAAAAACTTACAATTTAAATATATTTTTCGGGATTCCATATGGTATTGTTTGTAAACCTCGATTACTACAATCAACATTAGGTCCATTACATAGACATACAGATGGACATGCATTGATGATGATAGATTGTTGAAATAATAAAAGTATATAAAAACTATACGATAATAAAAATAGGATCATTGTTTTCTTTTTTGTAGTTGTTGATTGAATTTAAATAATCGCTGTTATACTAGAAACATAGTTGTGATTGTACGATTCTAAAGTGTACCAACAGAAGAGTAACGAATAAATGTTAGAAGAAATGCGTTAATTGTTATAGGATGAGAATAATGACGCTTTCTATACACGCATACATGTACACTGGACACTCATCGTCGTCTCTCTTCTTGTTCGCTCTTTTTTCTTTCTTTTTGTTCCTTCTTCTCGATTTCTGTATGAGCTCAAAAGAACAGAGAATAGATGAATTCATTGTGATATTTGATTCGTATAGTGTAATTCATTGATGAGACGAGAAAAAAATCAAACAACTATATTGCAGACATTGTAACCATTCCATTACTATCGATTAAATAGATAGATCTCAAATGTAGCATGACTAATGATAAGAATATCAATATGGATGGCATCAAGATAATCTAATCATCGAGTTCACGGTTCAGTCGAATCGAGTAGTAGGACGTAAAAGTAACAAATCAATCCTGTGAATAGGAAACATATAAATATTCTCGAATATTTGCTTTCTACATAAAATGCAATCATTGTTATTTATCGTAAATCATATTGAATAGACAAAAAGAAATTATTGCGAAGAACAGTTTGTTTTCAGACAATCAGATATAGTACTAAAAATATGTTTATGTATAATAAGTAATTGTTAAACAGACAAAGGAAAATGCCCTGGCATGTTTACTAAATCTGCTTTATAAATCATTGAATTATGAAAAAATTTTTTTCGTCGAATAAACGCGAGCGAGACAAAAAAAAAACTCCAAGGAATCTATGTACATCGAATAACAGATTTATTAATGAGCATTAATTGCTTGAATGTTTAAGAGAGAACAATTTCTGAATAGCAGTACTCGATTACCAAGTAAACATTTTTTCTGGTCAATACCCCGAGGTGAATTTATATTGATATATTCGATGAAATTCTTATAAATACAGACAAAACAAAAATTACCGAACAATTGAATCCAATTCTAATTCAAGGATTACTTTTTTCTTCCTCTGATGCACTGGCTTTACGGGGCAATTTAATCTATGTTTTTGTTTTGTAAAATAATCACATGTACACATTTATCATTATAACTTCTATTAACAGAAGTAGAATGTTTGAAAAAATGTCGAGAGAAAAGAAAAAGTTATTTTAATGAAATGCATACCATCACAGTTATCAGATCGCTATGCACATATATGTATATAAACTTAATACTAAATAAAATTAACAAGTATTTAGCTGATTCAATTGTGAATGATGCATTTTCATCAAATGTCGTTCGTGCTAGTAGTATTTCTTTCTGTATTATTACATGAAGAAGTTAAGGGTGATTTATCTGGTGATGTTATGCAAATGGTCAAGCGTCTTATTCAATCGAATTGTGCTTGTTCTCAAAATGAATGTTGTTCAAAATGGGGCTATTGTGGCCGAACAGATGCTTATTGTGGTGAAGGTTGTCAATCAGGTCCATGTAAAATTTCATCGAAAGCTAAACAGAATTATTTTGATGTAACATTAGAAAAATTTTCATGTGTTTTTTCGAATATTGATGCTCAACTACGTGTTCGTCGTTTCAATGGTTTACAAGAGGCTATGAAATTAATGAAATGGAAACCAGTAAATAGTAGAGAAGCAGCTGTATTTCTTGCTCATGTTTCGCATGAAACTGATGGCCTAAAAACTCTCAATGAATATTGTTCTCAGAAAAATAGTAAGTCTTAAAAATATTTTACTGATAACATAATTTCTTTGTTTTCGTAGCTTGTAATAATTATGAAATATCTTGGTGTTCAATTGAAGCTAATCCCAATAGAAAATATTACGGTCGTGGCTGGTTTCAATTATCATACCCATGCAATTATTACAGTGCTGGAAAAGCGCTCGGTCTTGATTTACTTAATAATCCAGATTTCGTTAGTCGAACCGATCGAATAGCTGCGTCAACAGCAATTTGGTATTATAAAGAAACAGGCATGGATAAATTGGCACAACAAGATAATTTTGGTGGTACAACTCGAAAATTAAATGAATATGAATGTTCTGGTAAAGCTGGCTATCATATGCAAGCAGCACGATTGCAAACTTATCATAGAGTACGCAAATGTTTTGATCTTCCACCAACAACAACGAATCTTACTTGCTAGATGTTTTTTCTTGAAATTTTATTAACATATGATAGGAACCAAATAAAATAGATTTTAATTTTAAGTTTTATTATGAACATGGGTACGCCGATGTGATTATGGCAGTACCTATGAGTCGTCTTTATAGCTACACTCACTTTCAGTGCGAATTCTGCATGAACAAGACATGTCTAACTGTGGAAAAAGGATAGAAGAGCATACTTTAGTTACAAAACAAAGTATTCTAGAATGAGTTTAATAAATGATTACAGAATTGACTGATTTGTATGTTAGACCTTTGCCATTATAATTTGTCTGGATGCATTTTGTTTGTTTTCAAGCATGACCTTTACGGTTAAAATATTCATTGAGATTTTGGTTGTCGTTTCGAGCTATCAAGCTTTCAAAGTGCTCGATCGATAATTTGTTAATGTCAATTTTATCGGTACTAATCAAGAAATTTAGTCTCGCGCTGTATTCTTTTGATTTGGTCAATGATTCATCATCATCAAAATAAATACGTCCTAAGATTCTTCGGCCACGAGGCGCATCTTTAGATCGTGTATCATACGCTTGATCGTCTGGGTTGTAAAAAGCATCCCAATGTACCTTTAAATTCATCCTTTATTAAAGCATATTGGAAATAATACTTCAATAGCATTGATCTCCTTATTCAATTTCCGCATACGACTGCTCATAGAAACCAAGGTTGATGGTATCTCTCCTTGACATTTTTTCCCTTTCAGGCCAAAAATTGCGCAACCAATGTATACAAATACTTAGGTCTTTATTCTTAACTTCGTTTTTATTTTATTCCCGGTTTATTGTAACCTCCAACTGTCATAGAAGGATATTTAAAGAACAAGATCCAAGATGATGTTTCTGATATCGTTTCTAGTATTGCTGTTTTTTGTTCCTTTATTTCTTGTAAGTTAATATTGCTTTGGATCAAATTGAGACACATCAAATGAATCATCCATGTTATAACATTTCTTGTTGACTTTATAACCATTGAGTCACACCAACACATCTATCTTTGCAAGCTGTACCCTCAAAATAAATTGCTCTTATTCAACGTATGGACTAAATTTCATGATTTATCAACTGTTTTCTTAGAATCTACGTCTAATTTGATTGAAATTCTCTTAGTTTTTTATGACTTGGTCATATACTCCTAGTACAACGCTCAAGACTTTCTAGTTAGAAGAAATTTATTGACCTAAAAAGTAAAAGTAAAATTTATTTTTTTCATCTTTTTATTCTTCATCGTTTTCCTCTTCTGCATGTGAATTGTTTCAACAAAAATGAGACAGGAAGGCTGAATAAATAGAGCTATAGTAAGTAGAGTGTGCAGAAACAAATGCAGACTGTGAAGCATTCTCTATCAATCAATTTTATTTACATAGCAAGCCATAGAGTGAAAGTGACTGTTGTTTTCTTTCTTCATTTCAACGGAATACGTCGACAGGGAGCATTTGCTACCTTGAAAAATGGCTCGTGCTAATATAGAAGAGCAAGTTCTCAGCATATGCGAATTAGTAAATAAAAATGAATATGGAGCAGCAGCTATTGCTCTACAATCAGCTCATACTGAAAATATTTTGCATTCATCAGATTTAACCACATCATTGATTGTAATCGAACAAACAGCATGTCAGCTACTGAAAAATTGCTTCAATAATATTGATACGATAAAACAAGAATGCCTGACATATATTGAAGAAGTCGGTGTATTCAATCGATACATTGCAACGATCAACACTGACAACGATGCACAAATACGTATTCAAAGTCAAGTTCTCTTAGATGCAGATATTCTCAAGAATCTTGTCGTCATTATCAATATGCTTGCCAGTAATAATAGTTTTCATGGTCAAAATTTCGTTTTATCAATTTGCACATGGCTTGAAGCTATTGCTCATTTTATTCATCGACATGATGATTTATTTAGAGAAATAATTCAACCACTTCGTCAGAGTATATTAGCTTGTGTTCTCTCGGATTGGTATCAAATCTATATTAGGCAATCACCTGCAAAGAATAGCCCACAGCGCGCCTTCTTCATTCGTACATGTTCATTTGTCACAGGCGTTTTTCAATGTAATTTATTATCATTTGAAAATGCTCTCAAAACTGCTCAATCATATCAAATCGTGATACCTATTGGCAAGCAAATAATCGAACGTCATTTGGATGATTTTCGGCAATATCTTCTTCGGCAATCAAATGATATTGAGAATGATTACGAGTGTCTTACTGGTATTTGTCTTCTTATGACGAACTGTTATAATTATGAAGCATTTGTTAAAGATGATGATTACTTCAATATTCTTTTACGATTGTTAAAGTCAGACTTCGTACGAAATGGTCTTTTACCTACTTGGACAAACGATAGTACTATTCTTGCCGATACTTTAATGGTGCAATTGAAAAATGCTAGCAATGATTCAACTATACGATTGTTTTTACAACAAAATCAAGCAGCAAATGTTGTTTATCATTATTTTCATGCTGACTATGATCGACTACGTTTGCAAGCATGTATGCTGCTGGGAGTGTTGCTGGATGATGCCACGATTCGACATTTAAAAATTCCTGGCGATGAATTAACTTGTTTATATTTTGATGCTATTCGACAAGCGCATAAATTATCAAATAAATGCTATAAACGAGTTCCTATACATATGCTTCTTCGAGCTTTTGCAGCGTTAGCTCATAATGAGACTATTCAAAGTAGTGTTGATACTGGAGCTGATTATTTTGATTTTCTATTGACTCTTAGCGATGATTATAATATTGTTTATGATATCTTATGGACATTATCATTCAACAACAGCTTGCATGAAAAATTTAATTCGCATGAACCTTTCCTTGCGCATATTCGCAAGTTTGTCGATGATCCGAAATCTGTACTAGACAAAGATGTAGTCAGATCAGCAGAAGGCATTCTGTGGAATCTGTTGGATCAGAATCGTATAATTCCATTGCCACATACGCCGGTAAATGCCGATGAGAAAAATGTTCCATCACGCGAGTAAGTATTAGTGATTCCAACGTTTTCACCTGTTTTCATCTCATGTATTTTTTTCCACCTATTTTGAAGTCGCAAACAAAAGATATCACCAATTGTGAACTACCCATTTGATATCATGATTAGTTATTGTCACGCTGAAAAATCTATCAGCAAATCAATATTTGAATATCTGAATAGTAAAGGTTATCGGGTATGGTACGATGCAAAAAATATGCATGGAGATTCACTTCAAGCGATGGCTAATGCTATTCAGGATTCGCAGTGTATTCTTATATGTATGAGTGAAAACTATGAGCTCAGTAATGCTTGTCGGCATGAGGCACAATATGCGTATGTCCTTCAACGTCGTATTGTACCAATCGTGGCTCAATCGAAATATAAGGCGAGAAATTGGCTTGGTTTCGTAATTGGTACTCTTATATACATTGATTTCACCAAATATGAATTGAACAATGCGTTTAGTATGCTAGAAGCGGAAATGGAACAAGCAGATAAAACTAATGAAGTTAAAGAAAAGAAGATTCCCGTGAATCAGAGCGAGAAAAAACAAGCGCCAAAGATATCATTATCGAGAGAATACGAGCATAAATGTGTGAAAGAGTGGACACATGATGATGTAATCAGTTGGTGCCACGCATACGATTTGTTAGTTATCTCAAAACTACTCGAACATTATGGTGGAACGCATCTTCTGCGTCTGCATAATGTGTCGAAAGTAAATGGTGACAATATTGTTTTTCAGTCATTACAAGACGATTGTCAGAAAATTGGGACTAATGACAAGGTTTCGCTGTCTTTCACTGAATTTGTTCGATTTCAAAGCGAATTAGAGACGAGAATTGAACGAGACACTGTTAAACCGACAACAATTACCGCAGCTGAGAAAAAAACGACTAAATCTTGTTCACTGCTGTAATGATTGGATAGAAAAGCAAATGCTCAGCATAAAAATCGACTATTTTGAGCGTGTGTGTGTGGAAGTAGATATTCTTATTGTAGATTCCTAACATTATATTTGACTCGAATTTTTAAATAGAGAAAAGAAGCCTTTTGATGAGGTCTTCTTTAAAAATAGTATGCATTTGCCCCGTATAGTTTCTGAAGGCTTTCACTTCCTATCGACATAAATTATACGCAAGCTAAATCTGAAGTATTATTTTAACTGCATACAGTTAACTTAATACATTACTGGCAGTACTTATTTTGTATATTCTTGCGTTTTAAGGAAGGTTGATAATTTTATATTCATTTTTATATTCTCTTCCTACTTTATTAATATTTATTTATTCAGTTTAATGTGACGCTTCGTTGCAGTTTACAACTTCATCAGACATAATTCTAGATACACTTTTTTACAATTTTAAATTATAATTTCAGATCACACAGTTAAATATCTACATTGTGTAAGAGATAAAAAAAGATGTAAAAGGTGCGACAATTAGACGAGTTCATTTTCTTTTTTCTTTCTTCTTTTGACTTTTGTTGCATTTTGCTAAATAGTGATACGGAAATGAATCATCAATCCAGAACAATACTTCTACCGTCTTGTTCCGTATCACTATTTAACAAAATGCAACGAAAATCAAAAGAAGAAAGAAAGAAGAAAATGAACTCGTCTAATTGTCGCACCTTTTACATCTTTTTTTATCTCTTACACAATGTAGATATTTAACTGTATGATTTGAAATTATAATTTAAAATTGTAAAAAAGTGTATCTAGAATTATGTCTGATGAAGTTGTAAACTACAACGAAACATCACATTAAACTGAATAAATAAATATTAACAAAGTAGGAAGAGAATATAAAAATGAATACAAAATTATTTTGTATATGAAATGAAACTGGTTCGCTTGTTCGACGAAATGTTCTGTCAGGAAATATTTGCTTGAAAAAGCACGTCATTTATTTTGTATAAATATACGCTTTTATTTAAATCTGAATGTAAAATATCTTCGCTTTACATAATGTTTCCAGTGAAGTTCTTTGCTTTTTTACTTTCATTGAACTTGGCAATCGCATTAAACATCACGGTTCTTCCACAAGGTAGAAGCCAAACAAGCTGCCCGATTCCTTACTTTTATGTTCGATATCAATCTCTGCCTTTCATTCAAAGGGCTGTCTCCAATAGCTTTGTCAAAATTCCTGGTCTCGAACTTGCTGTTTACCATGCTCAGCCAGCACTCTATAGAATTATGTTCCAAGGCAACTGTCAAGGTGTTGCTGGGGCTAAGTACGTCCAGATTTGAATCGATGGTCGTGTACTAATTGCGAATTATTTGTTGCCTAACACAGACAAACGCCAAGCAGTGGCACCTGAATTAGGTTCTTCCATCAATGATATTGATTCTCGCGATGGAGGCCTACACTACGTTAGCACTGAAGGAGACATGGTTTCTTCATGTCCTCGTTTTCGATCGGTGTATTTGCCTAGTGGTGTGCATACAGTGGAAGTCGGTGTAAAAATTTCAGACAGTCAGCTGGCCACGTATGATGGTCAGTTACAAGTGGAAGTGATTTCGTATGACACAAACATACGGCTCGGTCTTGAACATCCAAAAATTCCTTAAGACCACGACGTACTTTTTCCTGGACTTATGTAAAAGAGTAATACTAATATCATTTCGATTGATTTATAAAACATAATTTTTACAATCATTTTCTAGAAGAAGTGTACATCATTATTCACTACAATGCTTCATTCTTATAAATCAGTGCACATTGATTCATGATAATATCAAAGAGAACAAAAGCATTCTCGAATCATTTTGGCAAACCTCTGGGTTCTTTTTCTCATGTCAAATGCACAAAGATAGAGTCAATAAGGCTACTCTATTGCTTTTTAATCGTTACTTTTTATATTTCGGCGCAAATTGTTGAAAGCATGCAAAGTGTAATGTTGGTAGATAAATTGATCCACATTATAGTTCTCTAGCGGATATGAAAATATATTCTCCAATCAGATCCAACTTTTGCTACATTTTATTTCTACAAATAAAGCCTAACAATGTACATGATACGAACAGAATATTTAAATTTGATGGATTTTAGACTTTAATGTATACAATCGCAATGTGATTATGCTAAAGATCCGGTCAAATGTCAATAATACTTTCTAATGTTCTATTACGATAGAATGTTACATATCCGAAACAAATATTTTCTTCTCTTTTTGCACAACACAAGAATAAATAATTAAAATACAAATGGAAATCCTATTCTAAATAGAAAAAAATTATTATATACGAATAGAAGCAAACACTTGGTCACAATGATATTTATATTCATTGACGTACGTGTTACTATATCATCTATCACATCTAATCTCACGCCCACACTCGATTGAAAAATACGTTCCCAGTCGAAAGCGACTGTAGTGTAGCGCCATCATGTCGGTAATATTCAATTTTCGTTAAAATAAAATCCATAATTAAATTCGTCTTCTGATTTAAAATATTAAAGGCATAACTTTTTTTCCGATAGATTCACTCATATCAGATGTCGCCAACCTTAGTGCAACTAACTAACACTGACTTGATGACTCATGCATATCTCATCACAGAGAATTTGTATTGAAATTGCTCGATTGAAAAATCATGTATATTACTAGAACTCAATTGGTTTTTTCTCCAATGCAAATGTTTCATGTTCTAGATACGTATCGTCCATGCACAAAAGATTTCGTTGTGGTCTTTTGATGTTAGCCAACGATGGAAAAGTTAAAAAACTCGGTCTCGAAAATGGTGGTGGTTCTCGTTTGTGTGATTGGTCTGATAAATCGATGACTTTAAAAGATGTTCATCATCTTATTCGTAACTTATTCAAATTGGGTAAATTGATGAAAATAAATTTGTTAATTTAAAAACTATCAAAATTTCATTTTATTGATCAAAAGCTGATATTGAACGTGAAACATCATTATACGATTTCAAACTCCAGCCACTGAATTTCAATCAGTATCGAACTTTTTTTGAATACATTGATCAACAAGGCTTAAATTGTACAAGTACCGTTATCTATGTTTGCACACATGAAGGTTTTATTGTTTTCTTCACATTTTCATTTATGTTATCTATTTTTGATTTTGCAGGTAGTAATAACAATTCCGCAAGAAAAAGTTCGTTGGTAAATGAGAAAAAAGTTAAACAGAAAACATTGAATTCCTCAATCTCAAGAGAAGAGTAATTAAGTTTTTGCAATACTGCTTCTGTTTCTGACCTAGTTTATATTATTAGAACATCTGTAGAAACAATCACAAGCGCGTCCATTACATCAATGCAATTTAATCGTGTTGACGTTGAACAAAATTTCAATCAACAACAAATTGCTAAGTAAAAGATCTATTTTGCTTTGAAATAAAAACTAAAAACACTGAAACATTTTCTAGCTCGTCATATGGTAACGAATGGATAATTTTCGATTTTTATCATTGAAACTTTATATATTTAGAATATTCATTATTAATTGCAATCAGCTCGATAATGAAAAATCTCCGCGAAATGATTAGCAAAAATAGATTTTATACAGTTTTAATGAAATTATTTGAGAATATGTCAATAATTGATGGATATTCGTGCTTATTAATTAATTCATTAAAACAACGAATTGCACTATCAAAAACAGATTTTCAATTGATTAGCCAATCTGAAATTATACTATACTCGAATTGTTTAAATAATTTTCTGACTATTTCTGAATCAACAGTAAAATTATTTAAAGGACAAAAGAATAGATTTAGTAATATTGAACTTTACTCAACAATTCGTGAATCATTTATTGTATTCTATCACAACCTTAAGGTATTTGAATGTTGATAAACAGAGAACAATGGACTATATTTCACTGAACAGTCACTAGTAGATTCTTATTCATGATGAACATCTAGAACCAATATTATCATCATTTGAGATTGACTACTCGATGAGTTTACGAGCAGATGATTGAAAATATATCGACTCACTTTATGTTTGGATGTTTGAATTTTTCTTTTATTTTCAAAATTTGACAGATTAGATTTTTATTAACTGCTTCTGATTCAGAACAGAGTTGTCGATATTTTAGATAGTGAAAGAAAGTACAAGTTCTGCATCATGTATCAGAAAATTTCACAGAACATCTAAAAGATTTCCAATATTTGAGAGGAGTTAGCTTCTCAAAACACAACTCTCCCTAATCGGCAAGCCTGACACAGACAGTATCAAACGTTCCTTTTCTCATTTAATACGTGTTTATCTCTTCTATCAAGATTGTGTAATTTTTTTGTGCGCTTACGTTAGATTTTACATACTAATTGGATTAAACGTGTTGAAAAATACGACGAGGCTAATAGAGTTTCATCTTCCTTTGTTCGATTGGAACCACCAACATCATCGAATTCGAATACTCAATCTTTATCGCAGTGTAATATTGGCAAAGCTGTTGAAACATCCAGTAAAGATCATAGAGAAACTGCTAACTTATTTCAACAAGTAAATAAAATTTGAAGCTTCAACTAATTTTATTTAAAATTTTAAAATTTAGTTGTTGAAATGTGCAAGAGATTTATTGAATACTATGAATAATCCAAATTTATCAACATTTCGTGATATGATTCAATCAATAATTGTTGACATCGAATCCTTGCAATCGACTATTAATATATGTGATCCTAAATCTCTAGGTAATGCAAAACAAACGGTGAATTCGATAAAATTTCAATATACAAACAAATTTGACGCCGATGCTCTTACATCACCTAAATATCACATTACTCGACCGACTAAGCAAGCATGTGAAAAAACATTAACAGCAATGTGTGATTTACTTTCATATCTTACAAATTATCAAATTCAAACCGTTGCAGATCCAAGAAAAAGCTCAAATCTATCATCAGCTTACGTATTGATAGATTCCCAAGAAAAAGTCGAAAATAGACTATCAATCCAATCGCATAAACGAAAGTTAGAAATTGTACATGCTGATAACCATGGTCATATTGAAATCAAATCAATTAAACGTGAAAGTTTACCGCACCATATTAAAATTGAAAATAAACGAAAAAAATAATAAATATATGTATCTAACTAGATTCAGATATTGTTGTGTATCTATAGTCAATAAAGACCTGTTTTAGTTTTGTTCTGTTGTTTACATAAAAATTATGAAAAAGGAAAAACCTGAAGATACGAGATTGTTTTTTCATACAATAAATAGCCTTAGTCGATTAAATTTAATAGTTCTGCTATTTGATGCACACCCTCAAGATGGGATCGGTTCGTATTTTTCTTGAACTGAACCGATCACATCTATGCCGCACACTGTACCAACATTGAAAACATTTTTGATTACAAAAGTTTCTAGCTAAAAATACAAGTATTCGATTTTTTTAAGATGAATCTTAATATAAACAAAAAAAACTAACATAATGCATATCACTAGAAAAGAAAAAGCTCAATAATATGATATCACTGTAGACTTTCTCTGGTCTCGATAGATCCTATCGAATAAAAGAATGTTTCACCTAAAACAGTTTCATTTCATTCTACACGCGTTCTCCTCTTCCCAGTGTAACGAACAACTTGATTAGAGTAGCTTGTGCCACTCTCGACAAAGATGTTTATTAGGCTACTTCAAGTTATCCAGAGTGTAACGACAAAACTAGAGAGTGTCGCCTATGCCCGTCGGCATGATGGTGTATTGTGTCATCTGACATCTTTAGAGTGTAACAACTTCATACATGACGCACGTATATATAGGAGAGAGATAGAAGAGAGACAGGAGAGAGATATATTAGAACAATGGAAAGAGAACAGAAAGAGAAGGAAGGAGAATCATCGAAGCGTACCATCAATATCGGCACACCCAGTTATCAATCAACGAACAATGTTTGAAAATCAAAGTTTCTATTAGTTTTCATTCATTCTCAAGAACTTTCTTCAAAAATCATAATTAAATTTATGAACATCATTATTATATTTTTGTTTCATTCTTTTGCCAGAGCACTACGACTTGGAATCATGATTTTGATCATATCATTTTGTTTTAAATTTCATTGAATTTAAATATTCTCTCAGTTGGATTGAATAATCTATCCTTAAATAATACTAGATTATTAAAGTATGCAACATAATTTGCTCGTAACCTTATTTAGCATAAGTCACATTCTTGGATAAATTAGAAAGATGAATAGATGATTATCTACCAAAAAGCACATCATTGACAAGGAACAGAGGATTGACTTTATGCTACATTGATTTTGAAGTTTTGAATATTCAAAAAAACTATCTTTCGAGTGTTTATTGAATTGATATTCGAAATTTGTCAAAGCTACCAGGGGTCGCAACGGGCTGCCCGACCCGGACCATTGGTAAATTTTCACCGGGCCGGGCGAACCGGTGAAAATTTTCTGCCGGTCCGGGTGGGTCACGTATTTCTTTGGTCCACCCGGACCGGCTTGTTTTATTTTTTTTTCTTATGAATCGAACATAACTGGTGAGACAGCATAAATGGCGGTCTCAATATTTCTTCAATATTCCTTTCAGCTTTCATAGTTTCGGACTGACTTTTATAACAAAAGATTCAACCTTGAATGCTCTACAAAACCATAAAATAAATGAATCACATGGAGATAGAAACAAAGCAATTATTATAGTAATACTGCTAACGAGCATCGATATCAACTTTAAAGAACTTCTATTCAAATTAATTTGCGTTTTTTCTTGCTAGTGAAACACTTTTAGAAAGCTTCAAAGTAATATTTTTAATGCGATGATGAGCGCACTATATAATGAAACATACGAAAGAATATTTCAACGAAAAAATATTGACAAAGCATTCAGTTTTTGGTCATCTAGTTTGCCTCTGGCATATTTTGGCATTTTACTTGAATCTAGTCGATAGGAAGTGATATTTCTGCAGAATTAATGTATAACTCCATGATATTCCATAGTGCTAGTCTGTACCTTTAAAAAAAGACACAAAGTTTTCACCAAAAAATAGTACTTGGTCGACTAATATGAATTTTTCAAGAAAACGAAAAATTATTGGTAAAAACGGGTTTTTTAGAAAATTTAAAGAAAAGTAACACTTATTTTATCCACCATGTTTTGATTATGGAATTATTTCAGCATACTAATAAGATAGGCCTTTCGAAGCTCTACACAATCGGTAGTTCGATTTGCCTCTATAGCTCGATATGAGAACACATCAATACAAGAAGTTGTAGCTCGTGCTCTAAAGTTGTTGATGTTACTTGTTTTGAGTATTACTGCAATAACTTTTTTGTTTCTATCTCCATACGATTCATTTTTTTATGGCTTTGTAGAGCATTCAAGGCCGAATCTTTGGGTAAAAAAGTCAGTCCGAAACTATAAAAGCTGAAAGGAATATTGAAGAAAAACTGAGACCGCCATTTTTGCCGATGCACCTGCGACTTATGATATTTTTTGTTATCATATGAATTATGTGATCTTATGAAATTTATTAAGAAATCAAAGCTATACTGTATACGCGTAGGTAACTTTTTCTAAATACTGCATTAAGTTTCAATCTTATTAATCTCAAATATGATTATAAGATAGTTCATCGGATTATGTCGGTCCGGTCCGGTCCGATCGGTCCAGACAAATCAACGGGTTGGGTCGAACCGGACCGTTGTGATTAATGTGTCGGTCCGGGTGGGCCCATCTAGCTGACGGGTCGCAACGGGTCGGGTCGGTCCATGAAAAGTTGGACCGTTGCGACCCCTGATAGCTACTCTCTGCTATTCAGACGTAAAAGATAAACCACTAACTATACTTTTCGTATTCTCGATATTAATTTCGTTTTGAATCTTTCATTATGTGTGCCGTAAGTGAACACATGCCAATGTTAAGTCTGATATCATCGCATCCAAATAGTATGATCTTGTTTAACACTCGTTTGAAGTATGCCATGATTATGGTGTAAGATCAACAAAATGAATAGTAGTTATAACTGAAGTCATGTTTCGAGTGTCTTAATGAAAATGATATTTTTCTGTCTCCACCGAAACATAAAAATTGCGGTTCGTATTCATTTCAACTTATGAATGCTGCATGTTAATATCTTTTGTAAAGGCAGTTAGATCAATAGATAGTAGTTGCATATGATAGTGTGCACGTAAGGATGAAAATGAATACGGGTGTCAGCAAGTATACATTTATCGCCCAAAGTCAAAATCGATTAAATATCAATTGCAAAAGACAATATTGGTACTCACGAATATCATGCAGTTCAATAGTGTCTTACGTACGTGCAAAGTAGTTTTTTTTCTTCTTCATCGTCATAGCCATGGTTATTTTTTCTCCGTCTTTCGTATTCGTAACCTTAGAAATCATGTCCAATACATCGTTTTATTTATTTTGTTTTGAACATACTGAAATCGATATTTCATATCTGTCCACCATGGACTTATACTATAACGTTGGGATCTTGTTTGTTATATTTATTCCTCATTAGTATTGTTTTTCCATTGTTAACATCAATATTATCATCGAAAGTTCAACATTTATTAGGAAAAATCCATCATGTACTATTATTCATATATTCGCTATTTTCATTTAGTATTACTTTATTCTTTGAAACAAAAACAAAAGAAATGACAAATTGGTCAGATTATCTTTGTTTTCCAATACCTCCTTGGCTTCGTATAGTATCGATGACGTTTACCATTTCGAAAATATGGGAATGGTTCGATACAGCTATTCTAATATCAAAAGGACAGTCTTTGAAAAAAATTGGATTTCTCCATATTTATCATCATGCAACAACATTTTTATTATTTCTATGTGTGATGAATTTCCCTGGTGGAGAAAAAAGTGGAATGCTATTAAATGGTTTTGTTCATACACTCATGTATTATCATTTTGCTTTTCGTTTACCAAAATTATTACGTCCTATAATTACAACATTGCAAATTATACAGCTTATAACAGTTACTTATAATTGTCATGTTGTACCAACTGTATGTTCTTCACATAAACAAGAATAAAAAAAAGCAATAATACTTCAATAAATCATTCTTCATAAAATTTATTTGTTTACTTTGATTCACTTGATTGATTGCAATATATGTTTTGATTATGACAGAGAGGCGTCACATATCCGAAATATCGGGCATGCTGGAGATGCCAAGGTTGACACCGACCTACAATACTATGCGTATGTAAAATTATTTAAGCGCAAAATGCGTCTCGTGTAGAGACGCCGCATCTCTGACATCTCCCGATAAAAAAATATTTTTTCGCTTTTCAGCCTAAACCCCTCCGGATGATGCCGCGTCTGACGCAGAGGCGCTGTATCTTCGGGGAACTACTGAGGAGAAACATTTTCCTGTTTTGAAGGCTATGATCAATACCCATCCTTGGGTCACAATCGAGTGTGGAAATCGTTCATCCAGCAATGCTGTCTAACTCACAGGGAAGGCGAACCCGGAAATTAGTTCATCATAGGACACATCGAACGGTGCTGGTGAGCGCCGAAACAATTATCGGCTTGCTAAATCGTAGTCATCCATGGATATAGCCACATAAGCGAAATGCTAAATTTACAGCGAATGACAGGTAAAAAGGTAAAAACAGGCGCACTGCCAACCACGTGGAAGAGGCAAATCGTTCGATATCGGCGCGTCGCTGCGGTAGACAAGCATGAAAACACGCGCACCCACTTAAACGCAAGTTGAAAGCATGCACACCAACCCATATCTTAGAATGATAATTCGAGTAACAGAGATGCGTTCGTATCTGTACACCGCCGTTTTCCAGCTTTCATGAGACCCACATTAGGTATGGTGTATACGTGTGTAAACGAGTTATTCCGCCATTGGTGGCACCCACATTAGAGATGAGGTATATGTGTGTAGACGAGGAATTCCGCCTTTCGTGGCACCCACACTTGCGATGGGTGTGGCAGTGTGTGAATGCGTTGATGTGTTTTCGTGTTTCTCTACCGTGGTCGCACACCAACATTGAGTGATATGCCTTTTTGGCGTGGTTAGCTGTCTGGCTGTTTTATCTTTTTGTGTCTGATTCAGTGTATATCTAGTGTTTAGCCTATGTAACTCTATCCATGAAGGACTTCGATTTAGTTTGCCTACCTGTGTTTCGACGTTCGCCCTCTCGCTTCGCTTCATCATGTGATGAACTTCATTTCTGGTTCCGCCGTCGCGGTGAGTTGTACAGCAACACCATATGCACAGTTTGCACACTCGATTGTGACACACGGATGGGAATTGGTCATAGCTTTCAAATCAGGAGAGTGATTTTCCTCAGTAGATGCCGGAAGATGTAGCGTCTGTGCGTGAGACGTGGAATCCCGCTATGGAGACGCATCTCCAGGTAGGGTTTAGACTTAAAATCAAAAAATATTTTTTCATCGGTAGATGCTGGAGAGGTCGTCGTAGTTCTACGTAAATTCAATGATCTTCTGAGCATTGAATGATCAATATGAATGAAAAATGACAAACAGAGAAGAATTTTATTGTGACCGATTCTCTTTTATTTATCGGGTGGTCCATAAAGAATGAGGGTTGTAGTATTTCATGGATATCTCGGAAACTATCCGCAATTTACCAATACTTTTTTTCCCAATTGAAAGAGAATTTTCTTCTCTACAAATTCATAAGTACACATTTTGCGCCATTGTACAATTTTCTGGTGCGAAAGTATGAAGAATAAAGAGCTTCAAAACATAGTACTTTCAAAATATAAAGGTGGACAATCTTGTATTAAGATCCATGAGGATCTTCATGGTTCAGTAGGCTTATCGACCGCCGAAAGGTGGTGCAAAATGGTTCGAGACACCGGCCGGATTACTTTATTGAGATCAATGGGTCGTCCAAGAACAGTAAGAACTGCAGCAAACATACAGAAGGTAAAACAGCGACATGATCGATTACGAATTTTTCCGTGCCGTAAAATTGCACGTGATTCGAGAATATCTCGTAGAAGTACTCAGAGAATTCTCAAAGATGATCTAAAACTAAAATCTTACAAGAAAAAAAAACAGCCAAAAATTCTGAAGCCCAAAAAGCAGAAAGATTAAAATTTGCAAATTGGATACGAACGAACTTTCGTAAAGAGGATACTTTGAGATTTTTGTTTTCTGACGAAAAAATGTTCGACATTGATGGAGTTCATAACTCCCAAAACGAGAGAATCTGGGCGCCAAGTCGTGCTGATGCTGATGTGAAAGGTGGTATCAGGCAGGTACAGAAATTTCCTAAAAAAGTTATGGTCTGGCTGGGAGCATGTTCCAAGTGGGTGTCACCTTTGGTGATTTTTGAAAACGGAACAGTTGATCATGAGCGGTACATACAAGAAGTACTCCCTGTGGCTCTGAAATTCGGAAACGACATGTTCGGCGACAACTGGACTTTTCCACAAGATGGATGAAGGCCGCATATTCATCGAAAAACTCAAGATTGATGTCGAACTCATTTACCATGTTCCATTGACAAAGACCATTGGGCTCCAAGTAGTCCTGATTAAAATCCCCTGGATTATTGTATTTGGGATGAATTTACCGGTGCTATGAACTAGGATCTGGTGATATCCAAGACGGCTCTTATCAATGAACTGAAACGTAGTGTGAAGAAAATCCGCCCTGAAGTTGTTTTTGAAAGTTGTGCATCTTGGACGAATCGATTGTATCGATTGAAACAAGCTAATGGTAACTGTTTAAATAAATAAATTTAGACTATTTTTGTAGAGAAAAACATTCTCAATCAAACGAAAAAAAGAGAACAGAAAAAATATGAAAAATTGATTAAGATATTGAAAAAACAGTGAAACCCTCATTCTTTATGAGCCACCCGATAGTTCATTTATTAAATAAATAAAATCAAACGATCATATATATTTTATGTTTTTTGGCATTGTTTTGATAAATTTTGCTAGTGCACCTCGTTTGTGCATCATATATTTTATGCAATTCGATAGGCGAGAAAAAAATAGCTTTCATTTGACATACAGTTCAAATTAAAAGAGTTCAAGAGAAAGGGAAAAAACTCTCAGTACAAAACATTGCATAGTAGGACGCTATACGAAGTCAATACTATTGACTTTGAGTCAGCCTCTCTCGTAATGGAAATGAAAACTAATTTAGATTGATTGATAGCCGCTCTTTATAGCTTATTGTGTCATCGAAAATTCGTTTCTTCGGATTCATAGGTAAATTTAAAAAGGGTTTCACTGAAAAAGACTTCTTTTTCTATGCGTCAATTATAAGTGACTATCTTCAGAAGAGATATGAAACACGGAACGAAGTGAAGTGAGTAAGGAGAAATTCACTTGTGTGTGTGTTATAGTTTTTTTTACAAGTTACTTTCCTTGGTATATCTCAGATGGATATCAAAAACTTCGAATTAATGATATACAGATATGACCAATAATTCTGTTCTTTTATGTTTAATTACTTGGTATTTAAATTATTGACTGCCTGATAGCATCAGGTATCGTATCTGCTGTAGTGATTTTCATCAGAAATATAGAAATTGAAATAACCTTCGATTATTTTTTCTGTATTTCATAAAGAAATATAAGAGACACTTGTTGCGCTACGGCCAATCGATGTTGACGATAAATGTATTAAGTGAACGAAAGGTATTCATGGTGTTATTCCACGATCTTCCTCCATCTTATCATTGCATGATACTGCGTTCCGAGCAAAGGGGAAACAAGTGATTTTTTATTTTTAACATCTAATTTTATGCATTAGAACTGCGAAATCAATTGATAATAAATAATTAAATGATCAATCAATATTGATCTTCAAACACATGTTTGTAACAATTAGTTCAAGCTAACTTTGTCATATTGGCTAATAATCGTTACTTACACTTACTCAACTAAAACACTAATTAATATTCAGATCATTTTATCAGACTAGTAAAAACTGGATAATGTTACAACAAAAGAATAAGAATAAAAATCTTTTGGATTTACTATTGACTTTCTAATTGTTAATATTTTCACGTCAGTACAATTGAGTCGCTTTGGATCTCTTGTAAAATTATCTGTTACCAGAGCTGGGCAAGTACGGACTTTTTCGAGTACGAGTACCAACCCTTCGAGTACGAGTACGAGTGTGACAACCAAAGGAAAGTATATGCTGTATCTTTGTGTTCCTTTTGACAGTATTTGCATGTGCTTCAAACATCTCCTTTATCGTATCACTTGTTTTACCTTCACCTATATCTCTTCCTTCATGAGCACAGCTTATCAGTGCACGATGAATTGTTACTCACTCATATATATAAGTACGTGTTTTATATGTAAAAGCTTGCGGTTGATGATATGAAGAATCAAATAAAGTGTAATACCATCAACACAGGCATCTCTTCTATCAGAAATCGTCACAACGAGTACGAGTACATGATACGAGAATGTGTTTGTCGCGAACTTATTAGAGAAAATTTAATTGGTAGTGTTAGAGATTACGTATCAATTGTGAGATCAAGAAATACTCTTACGTTAGTCATGAATCAATATTTTTAAATTACGTCTATTATCAAGTTTCAAAAAAAAAACTACAACAAAACTTGATTGCATTTAAGAAATGTAAGCAAACATACATTTTTTGAAGCTAACGATGCGCGATGTGGGCGCATTACAAATCCACTTTGAGAAAATATTCTTTCAATAGGAGCCGATGTAGCCGGCACTGATAAGTATTTCAGACCCAGTTCATATAAAGAAGGATAAATATTTATCTGAATGATTCATTCAGAATACAATATATATATAAATATAAAAGTAAAGAAAGAAATCAACTGTTCTTTCTTGAAAAAATCTACATTATGATTTTATCAAACATCATTTTGATATAATTAATGTTGGCGTAGGACTTCGAGTACTTCACCCTCGAGTACGAGTACGAGTACTTCGAGTATTTCGCCCAGTTCTGCCTGTTACTATTGTTAATTGATCATAATCGATCATTAATTCAGTCAGCCGAGGTAGACGTGTTTTTGTTTCATTAAGAAACTGTTCCATATAATCAATATGAGATTTTCCTAGATGAAGCGAAATAAGATAAGGATATTCGACAATTGAGTCCAATTGATAATCGTTTGATATGTGCGATTGTGATGTAAAATTAATAATATGAAATGGTTTAAACAAAGGAAAAAATCGAGCTACTCGAAGAAAAAAGTCATGTTTGATTGAAGCTATATCGTGAACTTCTAAATTTATAACATGACTAAAAACAATGGGTGTAAATTTTTTGCCAATAAGTCGAAGACTATCAAACGCAAATGGTAATGAAAACATATGACATGTTGCACCTGAATAGGAGTTGTTTAGAATACAGGCCACTTGTACATATCCTATATTATTAAACGTTTTATGAATATCTTCGTTCGATAAATAGGAAACTAAATGATGCTGTTCAATTTTGCTACTGATATAAAAGGTAAATTTACAAATTTGTGGCATATAAGCAAGACTTTGATTATTAATCTGAATACCCTCGACAAATTTAGTTCGATTCTCAATCATAATATTCAAGGTTAATTCTTCAAGCTTTGGCATACGACGAATAAGAGGTAAGATTTTACTATCATATTGTTTTATTTCGTAATAACACTTTAATGAAAAACATTTCAAATTAGGTAGACTATCCTAGAAAATAGAAATTAATGTTTATAAATACATTTTATTATCAATAAAAAAACGATTACCAACGAATAACTGACAGAAAAATTAGATTTCCATTTATTTTATTTTTAAATATTTCTTCAATTAAATTATACTGTGAAACAAGATATCAAAGAAGTGTTGGAATCTATATGGATAGATATTTCCGCTCACATCCTCATGGTCGAAGTATATCTATTGATTACGATATGAAAATCCATGAAAATAACATGATCAAGAGCTTAGTTTTCTGCTTTAACCTCGTCAGACAACGATTTAGACGTCAATTACAGCTGATGACGCTATTGTTTCTAAAGGGTGAATATTCCATGATCAACAATGAGTCGGTAAAGATGGGAAAGTTGACGATCATGTCTAGTTTTCTGAATATTTTAGACGTCTTTATAGGAAAAACCGTTTTGTGCCAAAACCATTCTTCGTTGAATTCTCTAGACAACGACATATTTCCATCAGCAAGTGTGGTTTTGCTTATTTGATACCGTACGATGTGAGCATTGAGGATCGCACCATCGTAAATTTTGAAAATTTCAGTTTTACGCTGTCTATCATTCTAAATTTTATTTTTAAATGTTCACAAGTTTAATAGATATAACATTTGAAACGAAATAGTTCAGTCAATATACTATCAGTATATGAGAACGATGCCAAACATGGTTAGACAGTTCTAAAATAAGTAACATAAGACTTGCTGACTGAAATACACCGCTTTCAAGAGAATTAAATGGAGAGCCTTTCGGCAAGAGAAAATTCATCTGCATGTGCGCCCTAAGTAAGACGAGAAAAATGAGCAATATAAAGTGTGCCATTATTTCTAACGTATCCTCTGTATTGCTATTATTAAAAAAAATAACATAAGTGACTAGAAAGGATTGATTAAAGCAAAAAAGTGTTGATTGAATATTTCATCCAGTTTTCTGATTTAAATAGATATATCTTGAAAATAAGTGAAGACAGATATGTTCAGTCTTATAGTTGAGCAAAAAAAAACACTTTTGAGTAATCAGGCCAAAGTACAGTTTGGATATATCTAATACTCATAAAATTACCGAATTATCCATTGTTTATATTACACTAATCATTTTTTTTTTCTATACTGTTTATTTTTCCCTTCTCACTCATATATCTCTATTCAGTATTACTTAGAATACTTGAAACTATATCGATTTTATGTCGATCAATATAAGATATTGTAATCAATATTTTCTTCTATTGTTTTTCAGTCCTATATATGTCAATAAATCATGAAAATAGTAAATATTACCTTAGAAATAATAATAGAAGCAAAACATGAAAATATGGCGAAGTACTAAGTACACTTGTGCTCAGTACCAGTACACTGAAAAGAAAAGGTACCATACAAAACCCCAAAGGTATCCGATTTTTGCAACCAAATTGAAATCCTTTGAGGTTTCGTAAAAAGCCTTAATTTGAATAGCTGATAACAGGGGTTTCGTATTTGGGGTTCCGTATAATTCACCACGCAATATTGAATGAAAGATCCGCCGGGTGCTATGCTCCAGTATGGAAGTAGTTTTCCACCACTATTCACTGCAAAACACACCCATTCCCTAAAAAAGAACCGGGTTCTGTAGAAACCACCAGGAAAGATGTCTGAAAGTCGCCGTATTCTGTAGGAGAACACAGGATATCGCTGGAACATGGAAGCAGTTTTCCGACCACCAACTTTCGCAAATTGTTTTCAATGATTTCCGGCGCAACTTGTCGAAAGGCATCGCAAGTTGGTCGGAACTCACTAGAAAAATCAGGAACGTTTGCGACCGGGATACTGTTTCCATGTTCCACCGACACCATGTGTTCCCCTACAAAATAGGGGGACTTTCAGACATCTTTCCTGCCAATTCCTCCAGATTCCGGTGGGTGAAGCGATCGGTGTGGGATATTTCATCTAAAAAGAAAAAAATTAATTCCTCAGCTTTTAACTTTCTAAATGGAACTTACCATTAAATATTGGTTCATCTGAGAATCGATCTAAGAAGAAATAAAATGATTTATCAGGTGGCAACTTTTTAAATTGAACTCACCATTAGTATTTCTTCATCTGAGGATGGATCTAAATATACATAAAATATTTCCTCAGGTTGTAACTTATAAAAATGGAACTTACCATTAGTATTTGTAGAGCTGAGTCTGGATCTAAACAGAAAAAAAAATTCATCAGCTTGTAACTTTCAAATCCGAACTCACCCTTATCATTTGTTCAAGTGACCCTTGCGCTCAATCGAAACAAATATTTCACCATGCCTTAAGTTTTAAAGTAGAACTTACCATTATTATTTGATCAAATGACGCTTGATCTCAATAAAAATCATATTCGGGTTGCTGGACCTCAATAACCTATTGCAAAGTTGCCTCAGAATTTATCTCCGAGTTGAAATAAAAAATCTACCTTTACAGTTTTTGACTTAGACAGGGGCCGATTTTCTGACCAATGGGGACTCGACGCGAAAAACTGACTACATATCCGGGTTGGTGGACCTCGATAAACTATTACAAAGTTATTTGACAATTTTGCCCGGAGTTGTAATAAAAAATCTTATTGTGGCAGCAATTGAACTTTTGATCGGTGCAATGTGGTGGGCGAAAACGTTCTTCAGAAATATATTGAACTGACATGATGGTCTCCTTGTGTAGCGGTCAGAAGCTTTTATACTGTGGGATCCTCTTACAAATTGGGAAAAGCTCGGAAACTGATGTTCTCGTTGTGTGTGAAAGGGGTTCTTCGAAAATTCTGAACAGTAGAAAATAAAAGTTATTATTTTGAATGGTTATGTACTGATGAACGAATTGTACACAAGGTTTATTATGAAATCCTTCTGAATACGAAACTCGAAAGGGGTTTTGGCCAAACCTCTGGGGTAAGACACAATTCGAAGGGTTCCGGACGAAACCTTTTTACATTTTAAAACTCTTTGAAGTCTTTTACAGAACCTTGGATTTCGCGAAACTTCATACTGGTTTCGGATGATTCTACGAATACTTATATGGTATCGTAAAACTCGACGAAACCTGAAGGGTTTCGTGTGACACCTTTTTTTTTCAGTGTACTGAGTACAATGTACTACTGTGCATAGTACTTAGATACAAGTTCAAAGTAAATTAGTTAAGTAAAAAGTATTTGTACTTGTACTTGTCGTACACTCTTAAAAAAAATTGTACTCTACTGAACCTTAAGAGTTCAGCATTTTTATACCGAATGATTTTAGGTTCAGCAGAATGAAAATCGTTCTGTTTCTTTCAAGCAAAACTATTTTAAGTTCAGTAGATTTGGATGGATTTCGAAAACTTCCAACAAAACCTTATGCGAGTTTCGTAAAAGCATACATGGTTTTTT